GCAAACTCAAGCGGGAGCTCGACTGCATCAAGCGCGGAAAGACTGCGCGCGGTGTAAGTACTTTTTCTTCAACATCCTTCGTATCCCGCCTCTGGAGCAACGGAGCAGCGCATATATACTTCACTATAACGACTCGCTAACTGTTGCAGCGCTTCTACATCGAGTTCCGGTTTGCGTCTATCTACTCCGCCCTGAACTTCAAGCGCGCTTTGCTGGACGATGTGGATTGGGAACACTGCAACATCCAGTATGCTCCAGATCCATGCGAGGTCGCCCATGGTGTACACCTGGAGGACGAGGACGAGTAGGCTGGCAGTCACTCTGTGCAGAAAACGACTGGATGATAATGATTAGTGGACATGCTCCTGATGCGGTACACTAGAGTAATACTCGATCAGATTGGTGGGTGGGTGGTACGAGAAGCACATCTAAGGCTATGAGGCGAAGCTTTACGCTTGTGTCCATGTACATTACAAAATGGGTGATGGAAATTAATGAGGATGAATGTTATCTGAATCTACTATGCAAGCTGTGTCAGAGGGGCAATCCTCAGAACGAAAGGAGACCAAGCGGGATGAATCAGCGCTAGCCATTCTCAGTCTAGTCCTTCATCTGGGATAAGTTCGAAACGCACGAGCTCTAACGTCCTTTCATCTCTCATGCATCAATTGAGAGACTTGATCTCCTTTGTGCACCTTACTGGCCTTCTAGATCGTCCTGTACTAGTCAACGAACATGTATTGCGCCTCGTGTCTCCCATGCGTCCTCAGTTTGAACGCGAGAACAGCACGTTCATCCCTGTCGGAACCCCGCCGTTATACCAATTGCAATAGCTTCTAGAAGTCCCAAACGTGATCCTTCCAGTGTCAGATTTCCGTATTCAGCAACGCTTGCATTGCCGCGCTGCTGTTCCCCCGTACGAGAGTCACCGATGTCAGCGTGACTTCCTACCACATTCAAGTCCTTGCTTGAGGACTCCATGGTCGAATCGAATACATAAAGACGCTCAGCAGGATTTCTTGTACTACAAGACTCTCTAATCCGTTCTAATGTATTTACATACGTTGCGATATGCGCTGCTTAGCGCAATAACACTTGTTGTTACCGCCGATGAAGTCTCCGACGCCTTAAGCGCGACGCCAACTGCGACTATCGCCAGCGGTATCATCATTGGAACGACGACTAGTGTCAGTGGACCGACAGGCTCTGTGGCAGTGAACAAATTTCTTGGTATACCTTTTGCAGCAGCGCCGACTGGAGATGCACGATTCTCGCCACCTCAAGCGCCTGCGCCATGGACGACAATAGAAACCAAAGATTTCGGTAACTCTTGTGTTCAAGTCTTTGGTACCTTATCTTTTCCCGACAATTCTCGCTATTCTAACATCTGAGCCAGCTCCTCTTGCATTACGACCTTTCACCGAGGCTGTATTCAACAACCCGCCGCCCAAAGCAGAAAGCGAAGATTGTCTGTACATCAACGTCTTCGCCCCAAAGAAGGCATGGAATGCTAGTTCGCCTCCATATCCGGTGATGTACTGGATGTATGGGGGCGCCTGGAAGTTCGGCTTTGCAGGGCTGCCCTGGTACGATGGGTCGCATTTCGCAGGGCTCGAAGACGTGATCATTGTGAGCGTGAATTATCGCACGAATGGTGAGCACGAGATCGTGATCCGAGCATGTTGATACAGTAGAGACTGACAATAGCAGTCTTCGGTCTACCACAAGCGCCAACAATTACCAACCTCACAGAGCGCAATCTCGCGATGCTAGACCAACGCTTCGGGCTTCAATGGGTGCAAGACAACATCCACCATTTCGGAGGCGACAAAGACCGCGTAACTATATTCGGACAATCAGCAGGCGCCTTTGCAACAGACGCCCTCATCACAAGCTACGAGCCAGGCCAGCCAAGACCCTTCAGAGCCGGTATCATGGAAAGCGGTACCTATGCCTATCTTCCCATCGGAAACTGCAACAACAGCGACTTCACCGCCTGGAACGCCCTCACAACAACCCTCAACTGCACAGGCGATGACACGGCGAAGTTCAACTGCATCAAAAACGACCGCTCCGCCGCACAATTGAAGAACGCCCAAGAAAACAACACGGCCATCTCCTTCGGTATGGCCTGCGACAACATCACCTTCGTCTCCGACCCGCGCACCCGCCTCGAAACCAACCGCACAGCTACTATCCCCGTCATCCTCGGTAGCAACACGCTCGACGGCAGTTTCTACAGCATCATCTTCGGCCAAGACGTCGATGCTTTCTTCGCCACGTATTTCGCCAACAACGCGACCATCAAGGCCGCGGCCCTCGCTGCGTATCCCCAAGGCTCAGAAGGCCGGACGGATAATCAAACACAATTAGCCCAGATATACACGGATTATTTTTTCCACTGCCCCGCGGTGTGGTATGGCGAAGCGTCTACGAAATTTAAGCCTACATATCGCTATCTGTTTAACGCTGTATTCAACAATACACGCGCAATGACGACGCAGTGGCCGGTGCAGTATCAGGGCGCGTGGCATACGTCGGAGATTCCGATCGTCTTTTCGACGTATAATGAGTCTACGGCGGAGGCCAGCGAGATCACCCTATCAAACACAATGCGGATGGCGTGGGCGGGTTTCGCGAAGGATCCTTCGAAGGCGCCGGTCAGTGGGTGGCCGGTTGTTGGAGGGGGTGGAGAGGGTGGAGCGGATGTTATGAGTTTTGGCACTGATGGTAAAGGTGCGTTCGGACCTGTGGTGGATAAGGATAAGTGTCAGGTGTGGGAGGATCTGGGGTTCAGGACACAGCATCTTTGAGACTTGAACGTTGCCTTATCTTTTCATAGCCAGTGCTTTTCGCCGGGAAGTTACGCCTTAATCTCAATGCCTGATTTTTGAAGTCCATGATGAAGGACTGCTTGGGTGACCCTCAATACCTTATTCCAAGAACTTGAAAGCTGATCAGCGAAGTTATACCCAGAAGTAAGGCTGCGACATCCCGGAGGACTTGCCATGACCGAGCGAAATCGGTCTCTCGTTACGTTGGGCTGATTCCTATGGTACGGTAGCTGATAGCAGCTGTCGCTTCGTCAGGATACCTATTTGGTATCCTCGTCTGTCCGGATTCCAGAAGACTCACCACCTTGGCAACCTCCGATAAAGGCTGGGCTCTTGACCAAAGAGCCAACACTGCTTCCCTGTCTTTATCTTGATCGAACGAGTTTTTGCGTTCTCGGACGCACCGCTTGAACGTTTGAATAGCAGTATCGCAAGAGGTCTCACTTACGTGGCTACATATACGCTACTCCTGAGCTATTGAACGTTATTTCTCAATCTCGACTGCTCTGCGCATGTACACTGATGTGGCAGGTCGCACACTCAACAGAGTCACCTCGACAAGGCTTCGCTACGCCTTTCGGAATCTCTTCCAACCAGTGCCTTGAGGACGACAGGGCCACTCAACCGAATGGCCGAGACCATGATGGCCAGAAGCCCAAGAGGAGCACAGCTGAGGAGCAAGAGTTGGTGCCATACCGATACAGTCCTCATGAATTCTTTCGCATTCCTTTCACCGACCAGGGCCATCAAGGGCGCCACATTTGCGATGACGGAGGCCCAAACGTCCGATGATAGTTGGGCTGGAGAACTAGGGTCAATCGGTGCGGCAGAAACGAGGTCAAGAATAGCGAATGAGAGCATGACAATAACCATTTGCTCTGATATCACGCAGACAATCGACATATCGGTCTGTGCGGATAAGGTATCAGGCTGGAAGTAAACTTGGGAGAATCTGTCCGCTTACCACAGGCGACTACCGTCCCATTTGAATGCTCGATATCAGGCACCCGCCAACACTGGTAGTTGTATACTCCATTCAGCATGTCCGCGTCGGACAGCCGCTGTTGAACATTCATCGAAGCAGGCCCTGCCGCAGCGGAAGAGGCGTTGCCAAAAAGCAGGGCGCGTACGATCATTGGCCTTCGCACCGTCCGCTACGATCCAGAGCGGTCTCACAGGGAAAGATATGAGTCTGTCCGGTGAGGCGTTCGCAGCAGGATTCCGTGGTTTTATACACCGACCTACAGTCGCCAATTGCACACGAGGCTGAGCAATAGGACAAATCTGCCAAGAATGATAAGGGACGCACATGCGTAAAGTTGCATGCATGTATCAGCGAGTCCATCTTGGCTACATTCTCGCGGCGCGGAAATAGAAACTCTGCCTACTACGCGTGAAGAGCACCGAAGAGGCCCAACGTCAGGAGCATGAGTTCGAGATAGCCCTACAAGATTATGATACTATAGAACGATAGACAATGCAGGCTGCAAGGGCAATCGTCGGTCGGTCCTACCGCAAATTACGTCTCGATTTCCGCCACATTTACCCCTCCGATCTGCACCAGATCATTTGCAGTACTGAGTGTGGGAAAGTCTCTACTGCAAGTGTTTGCGCTAACCGCTAAGCCAGTATTAGCGTGTATAGTTCTTCTATACTTCAGAGAGGCCTGACGCGCATATTTACTCGCCCTTTATTAACCTACCATCGCTCGTTACTGCGATGATAGATATGTGGTGTTTAGCGTAACTGGGATAGTCTGAATGTTAAAGTGTAGGCGGGGCGCTGCCGCAATCTGGGGGGCTGCCGGAAACCTGGTGTCGGAGCTCGCGTCTTGTATCTAGACTCTAGACAGTCCTGCAGCTGATGAGAACGATGCTTGATTATGCTTAGGACTGACCTGATTCCGAGCGAAAAATCTTCGCTCCATATGCGACGAACCCGGTTTCCAAACTCTATTAGAAATATGAAATTCGCTGTCGTGAAGTATGCGAAATAAAGCTCAGATTCGAGAAGGACACGTATCAATGCGCAAAAAAGCTGGCGCAGCTAAAATAATGGTCTTCCTTCGCTCCTAGAGTGGTACCCTTCTAATGTGCAAAAAAAATTGTGGTTTGTTCTTCGCTCTAAGAATCGCACCCTTCCCATGCGCAAAAAAATTGAATTTTATCTCCGCTCCCAGAATCGAACTAGGGACAATTGGGAAGTTAGACAAGTATCATTACAACAGGAGGCTTTGACTCACCCTTTCGGTAACAACAGATATTACAGCCGAACGTGATAAACCAACTACACCAAGCGGAGTGATAGCACTGTACGTGCTGCTTGTTTGATGTTGAGGTTTAGAGTTATTGAGTATATATACACACGTATAAGTTAGCTTGAGGACGCCCCGAGCGGGGATAGATTACGTCACCGAGCCCGAACGGGGAAACATTACGTCACCGAGCGAGCGAGCGAGTCTAGCGCTATGTTGCAGGCCGAGTTTTCCTTATCAGCACCCGCCCCACTAAATCCCAATCTCGCTAGCGCCACACCTTGTCCCGCCTGGATATGTTACAATGACTCCCGCCAATCATGGTCCGAAAAAACACGGCTGGGTTGCTATCTCATCAGACCCAAACTCCCCTTTAGGGTTTGTCACCGCAAACAGGACATATGGGAGTTATGAGAATCCATCAGAGTTCTCGGACGATGAATATGAGACGTTCACTCCGCAAACCCGCCACCAAAGTACTCGCAAAACAACGCACAATCGCGAAACAAAACACGATCGCGAAACAACACACGATCGCGAAACAACCGATGCGCGGTTGAAGTCACGTAAAGTATGTTCGGGTAATCAAGATGCCAATTCTACTTGGAACGCACCAGAGCCAGAGGACGTTCTCCAACACATGCTGCAAGAGGTAGGAGCCCGGCATCCAGACAGATACGGGGAGTTTCTACGTTGTCCAGGTAGATTCAAGGAGCTGAAGGACAGGATACTCCCACGCGCGTGGGAATTCCTTAAGTCTAAAGATTATTCCCGTGAAAAGTGAGTCGCCGACGGTCTGACCACAATAAAGTGCCATCACTAATTGGAACATAGGCTTCTGGAACTGACACAAGAACTTGGGCCAGATGACGGCGGTATCTATGTTCATGTCATTTGGCGGAAATCCAACCCGGACCATTTCTATCTATACGTCGGTCAGAGCATTGAGCTGCGAAAGCGCATTGCTAATCATTGCGATCCGGCATACCGAGAAAAACACCGAAGCCTCCACTATTACATTTGGGACCTGGCAAGCATAGAACAGAACAGCGACTATGAGGTAGAAGAGGCATTCGTCTTCTTATCCACCTACAAGGACGAAGCTGATTCGCTCCTGCTCAATCTCTTAGAGTTCTGGTGCAGTTTGATGCTTCAGACTCTCACCAAGAACGCACTTGTAGCTTACCTTCCAAAGGGAACTCTATCTCCTCATGCTGGAATGCATCTCAACGTTGCCTTGCCTATATACCAGACCGTTCGAGGGGAGGCCGTACCGGACAGCTTGCATGGAGACATCTACCATTCCATGGATCCTGCAGTGCAACAATACTATTCAAACCTGAGACGAAAGTTCTTTGAACTCAAGTATTCACCGAATCCCTTATTGCGTAGCTATTACGAAAAAACGATGCATGAACGTCAAGTAAACGCAAATACGACTAAGCGAAAGCATTCGGCCGATGAAGCTCTACAAGGTATGGAAGTTCCAGTAAGAATCTGGAACGGGAAAAATCCGCATAGACGCACAGCACAGATCATCACCATATCGCATTTCCAATTCGCCCTCAGTCGCAAAATGGTTCATGTAAGGGACGGCGATATAGTCGAAGTGCAATGTCATCTGTCCCATGGAATTCACGAGCATCGTTACGCTAGAAACAGTCTTGCCACAGATCCGGCAGCTAGGCTTGGTATACATGTTGAAGGAGTGAGCATCAGTGGTACGACTTTCGCCACATGGTTGTACAATCATGGAGAGAGGGTAGTGTTCCGTATGAACACCTTGGTCGACAGTTTGGAGGGACTTGACGTGATGAACCCATCTGGTCGTACAAGACGGTGGATACCTCGGTCATCGCGTGGGGGGATACGGTCAACCTATACCCAGGATGTTTTGCAGATGATTAAGACTGCTGAGAGTGCTAGCTGCGGTGGATCTAGCTCAGACTCTGAAAGCGAGGACTTAGAAGTAGATATAGGCTCAGATGCTTCCTGAGCTTCCTGAGCTTCCTGAGCTTCCTCCCTCAAATCCAAGTAACTTTTCTCCGCTTTGTGTATTTTCGTAATAACTCGTGTTAACTCATATTTTCATAAAAATATACTATATACACCCCCACCCTTTTAGTATACCGTTCACAGCCCATGCACCCCCTCCCTAATCGCCTGCCCGTAATCCCCCGCATTCGGCGTCCGCACAATAGTATGCGTATGAAACTTCTTGGGCTCCTCATTTGCCAAAAACACACCTGAATGGTGATCAAACTCCACCACCACAACCGGACTCTGCACGCGGTAGTAAAACGGATCCTCATCTCCATACCCACCAATCCAGCAGAAATACGTCTCGTCGAAGTGCTCGTACGCGAGGTTGAGCTTCAAGTTCCGCGACCCGGATGGTAGGTAGAGAAAGAATTCGTTTAGGATGGAGAGCAATAGTTTTTTCTGGTCCGTGGTGAAGGAGGAGACTTTGACGCCTTCGTAGGGCACGATGCGGTTATCTCTGAATGCGCCGCAGACGTGCCGCTGGTCATCTTTGTTCCAGCGGTCCGTTACTAGATCGCCTGTCTGCTGCATCTTCGGGTCATGCAGCAGTTTGTAAATCTGGGCCGTGTGCTGCTGCACGGGGGTAAGACTCTGCATCAATGCTAACCCTAAGTTCCCTTCTTTATGCAGAATTTCTGTGCCGCTCCACGGCCCCTCGTCGATGATATTCGGTTCTGCGCCCGTGAATGTCGGCGATATGATGATCTGCGGGCCCTTGAAGAACACGGCGAGGTCGAGATGGTGGCCGTATAGCAGCCAGCCCCATGGTTGCGAGGGAGAGGTGGAAGGCGTGCCGAAGAGGAGGAAGTTGTACGAGTATTGGTTCATGATCTTTGGGAGCTGGACGAGCTCGCCCAGGAAGTGGTTTATGCGCATTGCGGCGAGGGCTTTTTGGTAGCCTTCTGGGGAGAGGGAGGATTCGACGAGGGCGAGGATGGCCTGGGCGGTGGGTTCGGGGACTACAGCGACGCGTTAGCATTCTGGATGAATACGAAGGTAGGTTGGTGTATGCATAGGATGGGAGTGTACCTTCTTCTAATCGCACGCCGAATGGTCGGAGGAGGATCTCTGGGTTCGACCACGCGCGCCATTCTTTCGCGTTGATGGAGTAGTGCACTTTCTCCTTGTCTTCGTCGCTCAGTTGGCTGACCGCGTTCTCTGCTGCTCTGACGATTTCCTCGATATCTACACCTTCGTCTTGTGTCTGGAATAGTCCTTCTCTCACTTTGCCGTCTGATGTGACACCTGTGAACGGCTCTGCGTACAGCTTCGCCCACGCCTCTGTGAGACTGTACAGCCACGGCGGGGCATGGTTGTCCTTGAAGAACTTCGCGTATTCGTACACATCCTGCTTTGCGGCCGTCGTGAAGCGCGGCGAGGAGAGGTCGTGGAAGTGTTTGCGGAAGGCGGAGGAGGCTTGTTGGAAGGAGGCCGTGCGCTCCAGGTTGGAGTCGGAGTCTTGAGGTCGTGCCGTCATGGTAGCAACCGACGAAAGTCAATGCAAAAATAAAGGGTGTTTAGGAGCTGTAGCAATGTTAACAGCATCCAGCACGCATGCACCCGTCGCAGCAAATACATACCCCTCCAAATCTCTCCTGACCCCCTCCGTACCCAATCCGATTCTAATTCCGCAATCACGGATGGTGTCTCGATTCGACCTTCTCTCCCCAACTACCGAAGACGCACCAATCCTATATTTTGCAGCTCTCTGATAGCTTCGTACCACGAACTCTCATGAGCTGAGCCCTGGGAGCTCTCCACAAGACGTCGCGAAACGGACAGCCCCGCGTTCCAGGCCCCGCGCGTCCCAGGTGTCGCAAACCCCGGCGCCCAACGTCACGCCGAACATCGCTCGGACACATTTCAGCCGCCGAAGTCGCGCGCTTTTAACCTTTATCGCGCATGTGCGAACGGCGTCGGATTTGGCTGGAAAGCGGGTTCGGAATTGAGCCTGGGACGGATCGTGGACATGGCAATTGTATGTACGAGATTAGATCGGTTAGAAGTGAAGAATTTGATGGCTTCGAGGGCGCATAGATAGGTACGAGGAGAAGGAAGGCAGATTGTACGCCATCGTATCGTATCGTATCGTGCTTTCAGTATCGCGTTAGCACGCAATCGAACTTTGGATCAGAGAACGTTGCGAGTAACAGAATACCGGGAACGAGCGTCAATATGTCGACTACCGAGACTTCGACGACGACGACGACGCAGACGACGTCCCAGCGCAAAGGCCCCTTCATACTCGTCACAGTCAACACAGCACCCGACCGGGCGAAGAAGCTGATAGGAAGATTGATCGAGGGACTCAAGGACCGCTACGACATCACCTATATCGCCAACTGCGAGAGTAAGTCCAGTATAAAACCCACCTAACGTTAGTACTAATGTGTTGTAGCTATCGACCAAGTCGCCCCCAAAGTCCGGCACCACCAGCCCAACATCTTATTCTCAGCTTCGATGTGGAGCGCTGCGGAAGCTGAACTGATCAAGGAGATTGCGGAGAGGGAACGGCCGGGGATCAGGACGCATGCTATTCCGCAGGGACTGCAGGTGGAGAGGGGTCCGGATGCGGTTGTGGAGTATTTAATGGAGAATGTGCCGGTTCTTTTGGATGGTGTTGAGGTTTGAAGAGCAGCGTGTTGGGTGGGAAGGTTTGTTGGAGATAGAGGGACAGATGGGGTGGGATGGGTTATAGATAGAATAGACGGCGTCAAGACTCTCGATCTTTACAAGCTTCAAATATCCATATATACCCTTCATTTCCAGAGCTGTAGATCGTAAACATGACCGACAACTAATCTAATACAACCCCCTACACTCCCAACTCTCCGCCTTATCCACATCCCCCGTCCCCTTATACATCGCCTGCTTCGGATACATACACAACGGCCGCTGCCTCATTACATCCCCATGCACCGTCTCATTCACATACTTCGTGCCCACCACCCACTCCGGCGCCCTCCCCTTCTCCACCCACTCCATCATCGCCAGCAACACATCA